ATGATGTGAAAGTGATAGGCATTCAGTAGAAAATGTACTTGGATCTTTTTTTTTTAATTTTATTTATTTTTACTTTTGGCTGCGTTGGGTCTTCGTTGCTGCACACGGGCTTTTCTCTAGTTGCAGCGAGCGGGGGCTACTCTTCATTGCAGTGCGTGGGCTTCTCATTGGGTGGCTTCTCTTGTTGTAGAGCACGGGCTCTAGGCGTGCAGGCTTCAGTAGTTGTGGCACTCGGGCTCAGCAGTTGTGGCTCACGGGCTCTAGAGCGCAGGCTCAGTAGTTGTGGAGCACAGGCTTAGTTGCTCCGTGGCATGTGGGATCTTCCCAGATCAGGGCTCGAACCTGTGTCCCGTACATTGGCAGGCGGATTCTTAACCACTGCGCCACCAGGGAAGCCCCTGTACTTGGATTTTGAATAGTGATCTTTTCCCGGGCTAGTGATATTTTTTGTTTACGAGGGTAAACAACCAATATACTTAGAACCATTCTGTACCCAGACAACCATCCTGTTTTTCACTTTCAGGACAGTATTCAGCACATTACATGAGATATTCAACACTTTATTCTAATAAAATAGGCTTTGTGTCAGATGATTTTGCCCGACTGTAGGCTAATGTATGTGTTCTGGGCAGGTTTAAAGTAAGCTAGGCAGAACGATGACGTTCGCTAGGTTAGGTGGATGGGATGCACTCTTGACTTACGATATTTCCAACTTACAATGGGTTTATTAGAACATAACCCCACCGTAGATTACTGAAGATCTGTACAGAGACTCTCCCCCTTCTTTCAAAAACACAAAACTCGTAATCAGGATCACCTGACAGAGTCCCAAAACAGTGTACAATTCTTGAGAACTAATTTTGCAACATAAGAATATTCATTTAAACTATTATCAACAGGTAACAAGTTCCTAGGGCAGGAAGCTAACTCCCTTTAAGGGATAAAAATTCCAAAACACTCCCACTGCACCTTGGGTAGTAACCCAGGCCAAACTTCCAAACTAGATTCTTCTGGATATTCTGGTGAAAAAGATCTATATTGAGCCACCATTTCTATCATAATATTTTCACTTACAAAGCAGCTATGGTACTTGAAATGTTTTCCTCCTTACCGATTCACCAGTGCCTCTAGGGGGCAGTGCAGTAGTAAGAAAACTTGCACCTTCTGGGGGCAGTGCAGTAGTAAAAACAAACACTTGCACCTGCTTCGCCAGTGCCTCTAGGGGGCAGTGCAGTAGTAAGAAAACTTGCACCTTCTGGGGGCAGTGCAGTAGTAAAAACAAACACTTGCACCTGCTTCGCCAGTGCCTCTAGGGGGCAGTGCAGTAGTAAGAAAACTTGCACCTGCAGTGCAGTAGTAAGAACACTTGCCTCCAGCAGGCTTGGAAGCCTAAGAGGAGAAGCAGCTGTGCGCCCATCCCTTGTGAGACAGTCACACTGACCCCAGAAAAGATACTTTAATGTTGAAAGTGGTCTATTTTAAGGGTAGGAGGCCTCTGGGCAGGAATGGGTGGTGAAGGAAGAGGCTAAGAAAGAGACAATGTTCTATTTTGGTAGTGGTCACAGAGCAGCCACTTTATAATAATTTCTAACCTATTCACATGCTTTATAAACTTGTAAATATATGTATATTTCACAAAACAATTGTTTTAGGAATGTGTTGTATGGGCAGACACTCACCTCTGGTTATTCTCCCCAGAGGATAATGCAAAGGAAAAAATGACATTTGGGAGAACAAATGTGCCCCATTCAAACCTAGTGAAAGTTGTCATATTCCAGCCCGTGTCCCCAAGTATCTGCAAAAGCAGCTCCTCCCACCCCTGTGACCTTCTTTTACCTGGCTAGTATAACCGTAAATAAAAACACACAAACATCAACTGACAACTTCAACTTTTAATAATGGAAACGATTTGCCATACCAGAAACAATTTTCAGGAAGAAAACTCTTCCCCATAAAAATAAACTCATCAAAATTATAAATATTATAATTTTTTTTACTTCTGCGATTGAAAATGCTCCCCTGCAATACTACCGCTTCCTTTCACCTCGTTCCTGTACCATCACATATTGAAGAGAAAACAGTATTACAGCAAAGCTTAGTTTAATTTCACATAAGAATTTGTACAATGATTTTTAAAACTCTTTGGCCTCAGTGGCCTTTTTACACATTAAAAATGCTGCTGCAGGCACCAGTGTTTGGGAGAGACCCGTCGGTCTTCAAGAACCATGAACCGACAGAATTTCAACACAGTAAGTTTTCCAAATTGCAACTTGTAGTGCACATGACAATGAGCAAGGTCCTGGATAATACAGACGAGGATGCCTAATTTAGACAATCTACTTCAAGTAAAAAAAAAAAAATTTCACAGATACCCATCAGCTACTACTTTAAGGTTCTAACAGTGTCTTCATCTGAGAAACAAAGGCTTCACAAAATATGAACTTACTGGGATGGGTAATTAAAAGACCAGGTGGTTGATAACAGTATACTCACACCCAAGCCATCATCTGAATAGTAAAACCAGTATGAAAATCATGCCAGTGCCTCTAGGGGGCAGTGCAGTAGTAAGAAAACTTGCACCTTCTGGGGGCAGTGCAGTAGTAAAAACAAACACTTGCACCTGCTTCGCCAGTGCCTCTAGGGGGCAGTGCAGTAGTAAGAAAACTTGCACCTGCAGTGCAGTAGTAAGAACACTTGCCTCCAGCAGGCTTGGAAGCCTAAGAGGAGAAGCAGCTGTGCGCCCATCCCTTGTGAGACAGTCACACTGACCCCAGAAAAGATACTTTAATGTTGAAAGTGGTCTATTTTAAGGGTAGGAGGCCTCTGGGCAGGAATGGGTGGTGAAGGAAGAGGCTAAGAAAGAGACAATGTTCTATTTTGGTAGTGGTCACAGAGCAGCCACTTTATAATAATTTCTAACCTATTCACATGCTTTATAAACTTGTAAATATATGTATATTTCACAAAACAATTGTTTTAGGAATGTGTTGTATGGGCAGACACTCACCTCTGGTTATTCTCCCCAGAGGATAATGCAAAGGAAAAAATGACATTTGGGAGAACAAATGTGCCCCATTCAAACCTAGTGAAAGTTGTCATATTCCAGCCCGTGTCCCCAAGTATCTGCAAAAGCAGCTCCTCCCACCCCTGTGACCTTCTTTTACCTGGCTAGTATAACCGTAAATAAAAACACACAAACATCAACTGACAACTTCAACTTTTAATAATGGAAACGATTTGCCATACCAGAAACAATTTTCAGGAAGAAAACTCTTCCCCATAAAAATAAACTCATCAAAATTATAAATATTATAATTTTTTTTACTTCTGCGATTGAAAATGCTCCCCTGCAATACTACCGCTTCCTTTCACCTCGTTCCTGTACCATCACATATTGAAGAGAAAACAGTATTACAGCAAAGCTTAGTTTAATTTCACATAAGAATTTGTACAATGATTTTTAAAACTCTTTGGCCTCAGTGGCCTTTTTACACATTAAAAATGCTGCTGCAGGCACCAGTGTTTGGGAGAGACCCGTCGGTCTTCAAGAACCATGAACCGACAGAATTTCAACACAGTAAGTTTTCCAAATTGCAACTTGTAGTGCACATGACAATGAGCAAGGTCCTGGATAATACAGACGAGGATGCCTAATTTAGACAATCTACTTCAAGTAAAAAAAAAAAAATTTCACAGATACCCATCAGCTACTACTTTAAGGTTCTAACAGTGTCTTCATCTGAGAAACAAAGGCTTCACAAAATATGAACTTACTGGGATGGGTAATTAAAAGACCAGGTGGTTGATAACAGTATACTCACACCCAAGCCATCATCTGAATAGTAAAACCAGTATGAAAATCATGAAGGTGTTCCCTGAACAATGAAGGTAAAAGCGCTGGATGACAGTGTCACTAAAACCTCACTGATGCACTAAAAAGAACTTACATGCAAAATTAAACAAGATGTGCCATACATATTTTATAGCTATTTCTACTTTTCTTTTTCTTTCCAACTTTCCTTAAAAAGCTTAGGAAGATATGATTGTCTCAGTACGTGTGTGGCACAGTAGAAGCGACACTTAATCTGCCTCCAGCAAGATGGGTGTTCTCTGAAAAGTCAGAAGAGCCACCAAGAAGAGAACAGAAATGCAATAAAAAAAAAAGGCACAGTTCACTTAAGAGGCAAAGAACTGAAGCACCTTGGAATTTCAAAAAGAATCCATTAGGTGTCACCAAAGTGTTAACAATTCCTTGGGAATTTATAAACAAACAACATCTAGACTAAAAATAGACTGGCACAGTACACCTTTCCTGTTGTTTTCAGATTAACTGCTGCTTAAAATGAGGTTATTAACCTGCTTTAAGGAAGGCTCTTATTGCACATGCATTTCTTTGGTTTGCAGGAACATGCACTTCTGTTAAAATGTTTCCATAAAGAACCCCCCCCTCCTGTGTGGTCCGCTCGGGGTGGACACTGCCCACCTCCGCCTTACAGCCAGGTCACCCTTTGGAACTGAGCGTCAGACTGTCCTGGGTCTTTAATCCATACCCCTGTTCTACATTATGTAAGATCGCACTTCTATTGATAAGACAAAGGGAGAAGGGAAAGCAGGGAGAGGGAAGGAGGAAGAAGGGAGGGAAAGACAAAAGGGAAACCGAGGGAGCGGAGGAAGTGACTGTCACAAGTATACTGGGAGCTCCTCACCTGACAAATCCCCCGGATGCTAACAATCTGGGCAAGTGCCTCCTCCCCAAACTCCTTTTCCACTTTGAAAAGGACCTCGGGGGGAAAACTGTCACTTCACAGGAGTCATAGCAGATGCTCACTGCCCCATCGGCCCAGAGAAGCTGCACCAATCAGACCTTCCACTCCGGGAAGGAAGGCAGAATGGGCGCTAGTCCACCGAGAGGGCGGCTCTGTCCCTGTTTGAAAGGTCCACCTGCCTTCTCTGGTCAGCTGCAGTTAGTCCCTCCTGGTCCAGCTCCTACTTTCTTTGGTTCCGCTCCCACATTTTACCCACTCACATTGTCAAGCAATATGACAATGGATTTCACGTCTCTAAACTGAAAGCTTTTAACTCGTCTACAAGCAAATTCCCCTTCTCCTCTACCGTCCACTTGCCCAAAACACCTCCCATCAGGGCTCCCCACTTCCACCCCACCTTCTTCCAAACTTGCTCTTTACTTTCTTTGTCAGACTCCTCCAAAATCCTTCACCAATTCCTCAGAGTTCCTAGCTTCCTGTGCCCTTCAATTCACATGGATCGTTTCCTGTGACATTTAAAAGAAAAAACAAACAATAACAGACAGGTAGTTTCACCATAAGACAATTCCGATAGATTCCTCGTTAAGCTTTTAAAAAATCATTTGCGCAACCTTAAGCTTAACATCATCATCATATACTTAAAATAACTAAAACAAAATAAGAGAAAAGGGAAAAAAAAAACCCAGAGTCCATGCTTCAAAACACTCTAGAATGCTCCAGACGAGAGTACAGGTTCACAGCTTGCCAAGAGGTAACACCGCAGTGCCTTAACAGAACAAGCTTGCAGAATCCCTTATAGAGGATGCCCAAGGTGCAGGATGCTGCGTGACCGGTTTGGGGAACTAGATCTAGAGATTTTTAAAGGCGAAAGGCCCTAGCATCATGGGGCAAGAAAAACGCCCTCCGACAAGAGACACACTGGCTGCTGGTTTGCACGCAGGTCCCGCACTGTCCCCAAGGGGCAGGGAGCCCCACGCTTTACCCGGGTTTCCAGGCCTCGCTGAGGGCTTCTTCCAGCTTGTGTCTATAGGCCGCGTAGCGCTCCTTCAGGTTCTGTAGCTGCTCATCTTCTTCCTTATCCAAGATCCGCAAGAAATTCTGTAGCTCTGGCAGGCTGAAGGCTTCCCACTGTGAGAGAACACAAATATGAAAAAATGCCAGGTGTTTAACTCAGCATCAAGACTTAGGAATGCGGACGCGAGCGCAGGGAGGCGTGGCTGCCCTCCCCTCCCAACGCACACTGCCCAGCACTGCCCGGCCCTCTCAGGAGTCCTGGTGGACAAGAGCTGAGCCTCCCGACCAGATCTCCACGCCCTCCACTCCCTGCTCGGTTCACTCCCATCGCCCTCTGCTCCCCTCCTTCCAGCCTCCTCCAAAAGAGCTCTAAGACCAAAGTCCTCCTATTAGACACTCTGACCCCGAGAGGCATGAGAGATAACTCCACACTCCCTCCACCTTCCCTCTACGGGAAGCCCTCATTGTCACTGCCTTCCTTCCCAGCTCCCACGATCAATCTCACCACCTCCTAGGCAGCTCTCCCTAGTGCTGTCCACCGCCATCTTCTCCATCCCTGGGACAGCCTCCCAGCTCCACCAAACAGCCAGCCTGAATATGAATACTCTCTGTAAAATGCCAATCTAAGCATGACCCTCCCCTGCTTGGAATCATTCAGTGGCTTCCCTTGGTTGTTTCTGCTAAGTCTGAAAGACCCTCCCCTCTCCAGCCACATCTCTCTCACTGTGCCCCTCACTCATTACCTGACCTGGCTTTGCACATGCTCTCCCTTCCTCCACTTTGCCTGGCGAACTCCTTCTCAACCTTCAAGTCCCAGCTTAAATGCCACTTGCTCTAAGAAGTCTGCCATGATTTCCTCCCCTCCTCTCCCAGCCAGGATTAAGTCTATTAGAGGCTCTCGCTGAGCTCTGGTAGCCTTGAACGCAACCTGATCGCAAAAGATCTAAAAATTATTATAATTATTTGCTTAGTATCTCTCTCGCCTACACTGCAGCTATTGTACTTCTCACTATTTGGGCTTTGTCTTTGGCCCTTGAGTTCCTGAGTTCTCTTTCTCTAATAGCAACTGGTACTTAGCAGGCACAAAATAAATGTTTGTCGGGTTTTTCTTTAAAACTTTTTTTAAATTTAAGCCGTAAGTATCAAGAAGGGTATATGGCTTCACCTGGGAGGGGTTTTTTTATTTTTCAACCTACACGTCCTCCCCGCCCCAAAGGAGGCCCTGGGTCCTGGGCTGAGAATCACTGTCTCGGCCAGAAGCAGTTTCTGATGGGGGATTCCCAGGGGTATGGGGTAGGGAAAAGACGAGATAACCTAATACAGGTGCAGAGAGAGGAGACAGAATAAAACCACCAAGTGGGCCAATGACAGAAGGCTCTCAGAGATTGAGTGTGAGCTAGTTAGTTATTAAAGAAAATGAGAAGTGAAGCAGGAGAGCAAAACTTTCTACATTAGAATATTCTGTTAATTTAAAAATTAACATCTTATTTTTCACATAAATTCTTCAAAGTAAAGACACTATAAAATATCATCTCCCTCCCACTCCCTGACAGCTATGGAAAATTTCTTCCCTCAATTCAGTTAACCTTGAAAACCTGAGAATCAGAACACAATACAGAGGTCAGAACAGCAGTCCGGAACATTAGAACACAATGTAAAGTGAATTTCAAAACTAAGCCAACATAATTCCCTCCCAGACAGTGTAGCTCCAACTGCACTAAACTATGTGCAACACTTAGAAACCAGCACCAAGAAAGATAAGACGCTGACAAGACTACGCTGATGCGTCTGGCTTGGGCTTGCAGAGCGAAGGCTGCTATGTGCCAAACTCTGAAGCCAAATTTTAGACTTCTGCACCCAGCTTTCTCCCTAAAATGAGATTTTCAAAATTTCAAAACATGAGAATCGAAAGAAGCTTCCAAAATGTCCAAAATCACTGTCTTCCTAAAACTTCCTAGTTAAGTTCCAATTTACACTGACATATAAACATACTCTTTACTGAGCATGTTTACATACATTTCTAATTTGCGACTCAAAATCAACTTTTCCAGTCTTTAGTCCCACTTTACAGATTTTAAAACTGAGGACTGAAAAGATTAGAACATTTACCCAAGGTCGTGCTCCTAATCTAACAAGAGGAAGGGTAGGAAGCAGAGTCTTGGTTTCCTAACTTTTGACCTAGAAACTCTATTCTCACCGCATTACAAAATGTTCTACACGGACAATTCATGCCATTTCCGAGTCCAGACAAAAGGCTGAGACCCAGAGCTTGAGAGATTTCCTCAAGTGACACTTGATCTAGGACAGTCTGAAGTGCTCTTTCCTTCAACTGAGTTGACCTAAATACAATCCTCCCTGAAGAGAAAATGGCAAATGATGCACGTAGAAACATAATTTCTTAATCATCTGGGCAAAGAGGAAAGAAAGATTCTAGAAAGTGAAATGTCTTTTGTAGTAAAGAGATGGCGTTTCCTTTTACTTCCCTTTAGAGCGAAGGAGCCTGGGGGCTTTGGTTAGCAGCAAACATATGGAGAGTGTCGACTTTCAAAGCTCAGCTGGATTAGAGTAATTTGGAGGTAGGGGGGTGAAAATGACTCTCTGGGTGGAGATCAAGTTAAAAAAATTTTATTTCCTCCCACCTCTGAAAATCACAGACCAACATAATGAGTGTTATAAAAGAATTATATTGTAGGCTCACTTTGGGTTCATTTCTGACAACTCATAAACACACAGGAAGGCACCCTCCCTCCACAGGACAACCTCTCCTCCCATGACAGGCAGACAGACACACAGACAGACACACAGGCACACACATTCCCTCTCCCCTCCGCCGCCCCCATCCCGTCCTCCTCTGCAATGGCAAAGTCACTAGAGCAGAGCAATAAGACAGGGCCAGTTGGTCTGCAGAGTCCAAAGCAAGAAGGAACAATCACTTACCTCTCCAAATTCATGTTCACGAAGAACAAAACTGAGTGTGTCTGTCCTGGGCCCTGCTACCAAACGCAGAAAGAGCGGATGTTCCCGGTCTGAGAGCTTGCAGGCGTAGACTGGTGAGGAACAAGGCCATGTCACAGACAGAGCACGACATCATTCCCCAGACCAGCAGCCCTCACCACCCTGTCCCCAGACCAAGGCAGCAGTGTTATTACCCTGGCTACCAAGGCACCATCCTCCTCATCTTGTTACCAATAAACAGCCCACAGTGAAATGAATTCTATACCATTTCCATTCTATCTGCATAATAGAAACTGTGCCTTGATTAAAAGGGAAACCATTCTCAAGAATGAATTTAAATGAGTATCGCTCCTCAAATGGGCTTATGATTAATTCTGCTCCTCCTTTTAGAAAGCAAAATAGGGCTTCCCTGGTGGCACAGTGGTTGGGGGTCCGCCTGCCAATGCAGGGG